CTTGTGTTCCTGCTCTCACTATCTCTCTCTCTGTCTGCCAAGCACACAGAAGACATCCCGTTAATGGTGGCTATTGTCATTTCAACAAATGCAGGCTCAGATGAGGCTGAAGATGGTTATCTCTTAACTTAGTTCCCCTCCCAGCAGGAAAATTTGGCTTGCTCATAAAAGTACTGTAGTAGAGTTCATTCTTAAAAATTGAAAATCCTGCTTTTCCTATGTTTTCCACCATGGTAGGAAAATTCCCTTAAAAATTTCAGTCATTCGGGGCACCTGGGTGGCTCAGTCATTTAGCGACTGCCTTCAGCTCAGGTCATGATCTCAGGGTCATGGGATCAAGCCCTGCATCGCATCAGGCTCCCTGCTCAGTGGGAAGCCTGCTTCTTCCTCTCCTGCTCCCCCTGCTTGTGTTCCCTCTCTCGCTGTGTCTCTGTCAAATAAATAAACAAAATCTTAAAAAAAAAAAAAAAAAAAACTTCAGCCTTTCTTTTTTAAATAGCTGTTTCTCATCCATAGGCTCCCTATCTTTCCCCTGGCCATTCTACTGGAACACGAACCCAGGGGATGAATGATAAAGACTGAAATGTGTCTATTCAAGAATGAAACTCTCCCTATCTATCCAAATAACTGTTGGATTCACATCACAGAGACAAGAAACCTAATCTGTATTACATTTGAATCAATTATGAGACTAAATACTGTCTCAGATCATCCCATGGAAGTCAAAGCTCTGAAAATGACAAGTGGGCAACGTTGCTTCCTCTTTTAAGTTCATACCAGCCCTCTAGGGATGGTTGAGAGAAAAAGCAGTATAGAGCTAGGTCAGTTTCTGTTTGCTTAATGATTATATTTATACAAAAAATGTAATCTAGGTGTCTCAGTACCTAAAAGACACCATCAGTATTCACTGGGGAAATGCTCTCATCCAATATGTAGGCCAGCCAAGAAGAAGGCAAAGAAGCATAAAGAGCTATTTGGAAACATAAGTAACTTCAGAACAAAGTCCGAAAGCCAAGCAAAGAATCCTTTATCCATGAAGAGAAATCAGTAAGTGTAAGGGTAAACCTGACTCACCCTCCACTGGGTCTAACACCCAGTCATGGTTATGTCCTCACACTGTTCCTCTCATTAGGACTGGAGATAAATGACGGATTAAGCACCAGCTATGACTAGTAGTGTCGGATATGATAAATTGGCTACATTTCAGTACTCAATATTGCTATTTTCATGGATCTAAGCAGGCTTGCTATGCAAAAGGAACTTGAAAATACCATACCTCACCCTCCACCATAGCAGCCAGATTGCCCTGCCAAACTCCATCTGGATAGAAATTCTAGATCTGCATCTGATGTTATGTGATGAGTCCAAGATAGAGGGTGCACTCTGAACTGAAGGAAAAGATTGATTCTGCTCAGGGTGGGTTGGAGTGCAGGGGGAAAGAACTTGGAAGATTTAACAGACAAGGCCCATTGGAGCTGAGTCTAAAAGCATGATTAGCAGTTGTCTCGATGTGGAATTAGAGAGAGCATCTAGAGAAGGAGAAACCAAAGGCAGTAGGAAATACACAGAGCTGAGAAAGTCTGTGTAGTGAGTCATGAGGGGTAGTGAATCTGAACAGGAGTGAGAGAGGTCAAAGTGTGAATGGGACCAAACTGAAAATCATGGAATGTCAGGCTGAGGACTTCGACTTTATCTTATGGTCATGGAGAGCTCCTGAAGATCCTTAAGGGCTGGTTGGTATTTTATAAATAAAATTTTAGCTCTAATTCAAGTGAAAGGGATCCCATAGGGGCGCCTGGGTGGCTCAGTCATTAAGCGTCTACCTTCGGCTCAGGTCATGATCCCAGGGTGCTGGGATCGAGCCCCGCATTGGGCTCCCTGCTTGGCGGGAAGCCTGCTTCTCCCTCTCCCACTCCCCTCTGCTTGTGTTCCTGCTCTCACTATCTCTCTCTCTGTCAAATAAATAAATAAAATCTTAAAAAAAGAATTAAAAAAATAAACTTACTTTAAAAAAAAGGGATCCCATAAATTTATATATTAATATAACTTTAGAAAACTGTTCAAATAATAGCTTATTGTACACAGGGCTTTTAGCTCAAAAGGGCCTAAAAATAGCATGCATTTTAACCTTCAAGTGCCATGAAATTCATACAAGAACTAAGACTAGACTAATGGGATGTCCCTAGTAGGGATTCTTTGAGAAAAAATTATTTTTTAATTGACACAAAACTAAAATGCGTATTACTTGTGGAAAAATGGGCTCCTTTTACAAGAATGAGGGTGGTAGTAAATAGTACCCCCAGGTCTTGAAAGCACAAAGGGACTGAGATGAATAATTGGACCCTTTTAGTCTACCAATCTCGGATTCTATTTTAAGTACTTGAAATCTTCCTCCTGCGATTTTCTTAGTTCATGCACTCTAGGGGGAAAAAAGGAGAAATATAAGCTTTAAGCCACTATCATTTGGTTATCATAAATTTTAAAATAATAAAGTTTATGGTTTCATGATTACTGGGCTCCTGAATTCCTTACATGTTTGTATTAGGTCCCCTTTTCCCAATTGTGCTATATTTTGAAGAGATTTTTTTTATCTTGAAGCAGGTTTCCTGCTGTGCTATGGTTAGTTGGAGGTCAGACAAGGGGTCATTATATGCATTCACTCTCTTCCCCCCGAAGAAGCACACTTCAATGGCAGAACGAGTGCCCCTGAGAATGGCGACAGGAATTGTCCTCCATCACCCCCCCCCACCTGGGCCGTAACCCTGCTGTCCCTTGGGCCTACCCAAAGCTTAGAGCTCTGAGTTGGGGGCCAACTATCTCTCCATGATCCAGGAGGAGCTCCCATTATCATTAGAAGCCCAATTTCCATCCCAAATGGGGGAACCTGCATACATTTTATAGGCTAGACTATTTCACTTAATTCAGTGTACACAGGTCTTAGAGATTTCCATATACTTTGGCAGGCACCAAATAAGACTAGGGTTATAGTATATTAGTTTGGGATTATTTAAAACCAGTCACAGGGATGCCTGGGTGGCTCAGTCTGTTGAGTGACTGACTCTTGATTTCAGCTCAGGTCATCATCTTGGGGTCCTGGGATTGAGCCCTGCATCGGGCTCTGCGCTCAGCTTGGAGTCTGCTTATCCCTCTCCCTCTGCTCCTCCCCTCATGCTCTCTCTCTTTTTCTCAAATAAATAAAATAAATAAAATCTTTAAAAAACACAATAAATAAATAAAACCAATCACAGAAATCTCTTTGTTTGCAATGTCTTTACAACAAAAACTTAGCTAAGTGGGGGTTAATCAACTCCGGTCCCCATGAAAATCTAGTACCTGAGAAAGAAAGTTGTCATCCTCAATCCTGGAATAGCGCTCCTGTGACATACTTCCCTCCCCACCTGAACTAAGGTCATTTTGCATGTTAATTCTGTCACCTAGCATATTAACCATCCCTCCTATGTTCCGTCATCTACAGATCTAATAAGCATATCTGTGAAACTCCACCAATGATCTTATTCCAGTAGAACATAAACTTGATGCTAATCAAAACTCAGAGCCGGGACTCTAGCCCTTGTGCATCTAATATTCCACTATCTTGTTTACAAGATTTCCTTTTATTTTCCAGGGAACTTTGATCAAGAATCCATGGACCACAAGGAAAAAGTAATCAATGAGGAAAATAACATAGAATTCAGTATGGCAAAGGATACTTCTTGTGGTCCTTTCTAAGGGAAGGGTTTTTCCTGATCTCCATACATTTATCAAGAATCTGGTATTTTATTTTATAGATTTATTTATTTGAAAGAGAAAGAGCAAGCATGAGTAGGAGGGGCAGAGGGAGAGGGAGAGAAAATCCGAAGCAGACTCCACACTGAAGGAGGAGCCTGACATGAGGCTCGATCTCATGACCCTGAGATCACGACCTGAGCCAAAACCAAGAGTCAGATGCTTAACCGACTACGCCACCCAGGGAACCCAAGGATCTGGTATTTTAAAGAGCAAAAAAATAAATATAGAAATATAAAACCCAAGATTCTGCTAGACCAGAGCCCTCTAGAAGATACCTTCAGGAGGAAGAAACTTACAAGAATAAAGTGAGGAAAACACGGAATTGATGCACAGGCCCCAACATCCAACCTCGACCCCTCTTTCATAGAGGAGAAACTCTGTGGAGTTGTGTGCACCGTAGGGATCTCCTTGGTACACAATCTGAAAGAGAGATTTGGGACCGTTGAGATACAAATGCAGTGTGGTAGGGACTCCCTTTCATGTGCTCTGCTTCTCCATCCTTGGGGAGTGACATGTCCCTGCCTGGGGGCCCTTCCTAAGACACAGAGCTCATTCTCCCATGACCACATCACCCCTTTCATCCTTTTATACTTCTAATCAAGGACCTTCCGGAAGTGCTAATGCCATCAAGCCTAAACAATATTTCCCTGGATCATTAACACCCTTCTTTCTGCCTAACATCTGGCCCCTGCCTGACTTAGGCAACCCTGCCACCCTTCTTCTGATACAGCCAACAGGCTTCTAACTCATCTCCACACATACCATTCCTATTCCTGCTTGGAATGTTTTCTCCCTCTTCTCTCTCTGTCCAATTCCCATTCACCTTTCAAGGCCTGGATCGTACTGTACCTCCTTCATTAAGCCAGCCATGACTACTACAGCTCACACTGATTCTTCCCTGTCTGTTGTATTTGATCAAGTACTGGTCCCATAGAGATGTCTAGGGTGTAGTAACTTGGTTCCAGTTCCTGTCTGTAAGACAGCTTCTCTCTTTTTTTTTTTTGTATTTATTAGTTGTTTATTTATCAAGACAAACTATTCCATAAGCCAGTATTCGTGTTTCATAGTTCAGAACACAGGTCAGTGACAGACTTCAATGGAACTTAACCCAAAGAAATTCTTTACATTCCCAAATCACTTTGCAGTCTGAAAGATACCAGCCTTCTTCATCTCCTCAAAATCTTTCATGGAATCATAATTTCTGTAGAAATCTGCATATGCCTTCTTTCTTGGTTCGGCCACAGCAAACTTATAGAAAGCTGCAACCCCCAGGGATTCAGCGAACGCTCCAACAATATAAAATTGCAGACGCTTGGCCAGAAGGCCTCGCATCTGAGGTTTCGTCAAAGCACTGGAAGTCATGGTAGTTATTCTCCTCAACACCAACCTCAAACCTAACGTCCTCCCTAACTGATATAGAAAAAATCTGTAAGACAGCTTCTTGAAGGTACTCTTTCTTACACTCTTACTGTGCCCATCCTAAAGGAGAGCCCAGAAGAAATTCGACAGGTGTTGAATGATGGATTGATGTGCAAGTCAATGAGTATGTGCACAGACACGTTTATTACCTGGCCCATGAAATCTGTAAAGAAGAGCATGTTAGACAGGAAGGCAGTCCATCCAATGAAGTGGCTGATGCAAAGGCAGCGGTAGTGGGGAGGCATATTCACCAGCGCCCTCAGCAGTGACTTTATGGTCATTGCCTTCCTAGTCTGGAATAAAACATGAAACAGGTGTGACCTTCAGTGCAGACATGCAGCCAGCTGTGTGAGCCAGAGCACACAGCCATGTTACATATCTGTCAGTCGATTACCCCACAGAGTCATACTTTCTCAGCATGGCACCAAGGTTTCCACGGAGAGGTCTTATAGGAGGTGTTCTGTTAAGTATGTGTGGATATTTAGCAGTTTCAGGCCCCGAATAAAGCTTTGGAGACCCAAGGGTAAAGGGACTGGAAATGGGGCTTGCTTTGGGCCAAGATGTAAGAGATATGTAGCATCCTGTCTTTGAGTGACAGAACAACTACACAAGGACAGAGTTCACAGATCTAAGCTAGACCTTAGATGATTATAATTCTTAGATTTTTTGAATCTGAAAGTGTGGTATGCTGAATTCTAAGATGGCCCCATGATCTCTGTCCCCTGGTGTTACCCCATAATTATGTTTGTTACATGGCAGAGGGATTTTGCAGATATAATTAAGGTTACTAATTTCTTGACTTTTAGTTAATCAAAAGGGAGATTATCTGGTGATTCTAACCAAATCACATGAACCCTTTAAAAAGCAGAGAATTTTCTCCAGCTGGGAGCAGAGGAGGAAGTCAGAGAATTTCAAAGCACAAGGGTTACTGGTTTTGAAGGTGGAAGGGGTCACACGGAAGGGACCTTAGAGTGGACTCTAGGAGATGAGTGACTCCTGGCCATCAGTCAGCAAGAAAACAAGCATCTCAGTCCTATAACCACAAGGAACTGGAATCTACCTGAATGAGCTCAGAAGCCGATTCTTCCCCAGCTGAGCCTCCAGATGAGAATGAACCTCCATCAACAACTTGATTTCAGCCTCGTGAGACCCTAAGCAGAGAACCCAGTTGAGCCCACCCAGAATTCTGACCTATAAGACTGTGAGATAATAAATATGGTTTTAAGCTGCTCAAGGTAACTTGCTAGGTAATTTGCTAGGTAGCACAGAAAATTGATACAGAGAGCCAATCAGCTCCCTGTTCTTGGTCAGGTACCGCTTCCCAGTTTATTTCTCTGGATCCTGCCATGAGCCAGCACATATAAATGAGCCCTATGTGGAGTCAGAGGTGAAAACAATATAGGAGACACCCACCCACACACACACACACATACACATACACACACATACCCACGTTCTTTATTTTTTTTTAAAGATTTTATTTATTTATTTGACAGAGAGACAGAGGGAGGGAACACAAGCAGGCAGAGTGGGAGAGGGAGAAGTGGGCTTCCCGCGGAGCAGGGATCCCAATGTGGGGCTCAATCCCAGGACCTTGAGATCATGACCTGAGCTGAAGGCAGACACTTAATGACTAAGCAACCCAGGCAGCCCCCCACATTCTTTAATTTAGACTTAAATTATGTTGAAACCAAAGACTACACTATTTTTTTTGTATCAGAAATCTTAAGATGAGAAATTTTGAACTATTGACACAACTGTTTTGAAATACAAAGAATAAAACAGCTTTCAGCATCTTGTTATATAAGAGAAGAAAGAAACCTTGGGACTATCAAGACACTGAGACTATAAACATCAGTCATGGTGGGGTGATAGGTCTTTCTTGTCAGATCTTTATTTATTCTGAATCTCGACATAATGAAATTGAGTCCTGGCTAGTTTATTTATAAGGTGGTCTCCTGGGAGTTTCTATTTTAACTATAACAACATATTGTTTTATAGCTCTTAACTTTATATAATAATGCTTTTTACTTCAATATTTATTGTGGAAAAATATATTTACTTATTGTAGATTTGGTATATAAATTGATTTTTTAATTTGTTGGTTTTGTAGTATTTAACCTACCGGCCATGACTAAACTGATCTTATACAGTCATCCCCACCCTTATGCATGAGGGATACATTCCAAGACCCCCAGTGGATGCCTGAAACTGCACATAGTACCAAAACCTATATAGACTATGTTTTTTCTTATGCACACATACTAATGATAAGGTTAAATTTATAAATTAGACACAGTATGAGATTAACAACAATCATAAAATAGAACAATAACAATATACTATAATAAAAGTTGTGTGAATGTGGTCTCTCTCTTCCAAAATATATCATTATGTTGTACCTACTCTTCTTATTATTCTTGTGATGACATGGGATGATAAAATGCCGATGGGATGAGATGAAGTGAGGTGGGTGACATAGCATTAGGCTACTATTGACCTTCTGATGATAAATCAGAAGGATCATCTGCTTCCAGATGGCAGTTGACCACAAGTACCCAAAATGCGGAAAGTTAAGCTTCAGATAACCGGGAACAACTGTGCCTAGTCAGTATTTAAAAAGTGTAGACATTCCTTTGGAATTAGGAAAAATAACTTTTTTGCATGTAAAATATGGTAACTGTCAAAATAAATGTTGACTGAAAAAAAAAAACCTCAGTGAAAGCTTGTTACTTTTTATTTGATCATAGGAAGAAGCTAAGGGTATAGAACAAAAAAACAGGGGCTCCTGGCTGGCGCAGTTGGTAAAGCATACAACTCTTGTTCTCAGGGTTGTAGGTTTAAGCCCCATGTTGGGTGTAAAGATCACTTAAAAAAAATAAATAAAATCTTTAAACAACAACAGCAACAGCCTGAGTTTCATGCCTCAGACTAAGTGATTTATTTTTACTTTTCTTCTTTTCTTTCCAAAAATGCAAAATTTTAAGACGTGAATGTGGCCAGCAAGTATTCATCCTCATTCCAAATATTAATTTATGCTTCTGCCTTATACATAATTTTCATCCTACTTTCATTGTTAATCTGTTTTCCTTTCATCCAAAAATAAATATGAACTTTCAAATTGTGCCTAGTAGTTCTGTAAAAGCTGGGAATGTAAATATTCAAAGCCCTTTGGGTATTTTCACTCAGAATGAAAATTCAGCTGACATCTTATTCTGTGACTGATTGATTCCCTTGGTGAAGTCCTTTCAATAGTTCTGAACCCTTGGGAGTTGCTCTACTGCATGTATTGTACACCTTTGTCAACTGGAGATTGGGTGGTGGTGGATTTATACATGAAAAAGGCACAGAGGCAAGAGTAGGGAAGAGAACTTCACAAGAGTACACTCAGAAGGAGATTACTAAAATATTGAGGTAAGCAATGATGGCATGAAGGAATTGTAGATGAATTTTATGGGATCCAGTTTGAATCCTGAAATAATTCAGGCCTCCTCTTGCCATTAAAAAAAAAATAGTCCCAGTTCTCAAACTGCACCACCACCCTCATTTTGGAAAATGTATATTCTACCTTGGAATATAAGTATTGGTATAAATGGCTTATTATGGTCCCTGTTAGGGCTGTAAATTCTTGAGCATAGGAAGCAGAGATTAGTCAATTTCATGATCCCTAAATACCTAGTAATGCTTTGTACATACTTGGTACCTGAAGTAGTTTGTTGACTGAATAATGACTGTAATACACTTATATACTTATATAAAGCTTTAAAAAGCACCTTTGCATGCTTTATCTTAGCTGAACAACCCAATAATCTTGGAAAATAGATACACCAACCCACCAAGAGAAGTTGAACTCATAGAGATTCACTGAGCTTGTATGAAAGTTCTGTTAGAGCACAGATTAAATCTGTTCCCTGTTCATGTGTGAGGTGCTCAGCCTTCTGTCAGGCTCATAATAGGCACTTGTACCTCACACCTTACTATGTGGTAGGAACTTTGCATGGCTTATGTCATGGAATCTGCACAAAATCCTTATAGGTAGATAGAATTACTTTCCTATTTTACAGAAACAAATGCCCAAGGTTATGCATTCCAGAGGTGGGGTAGAGGCAGGATTGGAACACCTATGCTCTTAATTTTTTTTTTTTTTTTTAGAGAGAGACAGAGTGTCTGTAAACATGGGCAGGGAGGGGCAGAGGGAGAGGGAGAGAGAGAATCTTAAGCAGGCTCCACGCTCAGAGCAGAGCCCAGACACCAAAGCAGGGCTCGATCTCACCAACCTGAGATCATGACCTGAGCCCAGACCCAAGAGTTGGATGCTTAACTGACTGGGCTACCCAGGTGCCCCATATGCTCTTAATCCTTAGGCTCTTTACAGCAAGTGCCTAGTAGCTGTTGAATGAATAATACAAGTCAGTCAGCTAGAGGAATCAAGATTTCAACCTAGGTCTTCCACAACCCCTTTGCCAGTGAGGGAATCCTTTGTACTTATATCAATGAGGTATTGCCATTAAACTCAGCTTGAAGGAGGATGCAGCTGTGCATCAGTGTTGTCCAAAAGAACTTTCTACAGTGATGGACATGTTCTATATCTGCACCGTCCTGGACTGTAGTGCCTAGGCCCAAGGAGCTATTAAGCATTTGAAATGTGGCTAATGCAACTAAGGAACTGACATTTCAATTTATTTCATTTTAATTAATTTAAACTTAAATAGCCTCATGGGACGAGTAGCCAATGTACTGGTCAGCGTAGTTCTAACCTCTTCTCTCTGACAATTTCCCCTTAACCTAGTCCCATTTCTCTGTAATTTAGCAGAGTTTTCTTTAAATTTTTAAACTAATTAATTCACTGATCAGTTCATTGAAAATGGCCTAAAAGAAATATTTAATTAACTCATGAAATACAAATTCAACATGCCCAACCCAGTTACCAACCCAGGGATGCTGTCATTTGGAGGAACAAATTTATAATCCCAATCTAAGAGTTAAGATATTCCTTGAGGCCTAAAAATGGTTCCAGGCTGCTCTTATGGTCTAACGTTTTGGAACTGGCTTCCTCTTCCCTATTCTGATGCTCTGAAAAGAATAAGAGAAAGACCAGAGGAAAATGCACACATTTTTAAAGTTTTAATTCAAAGGGATAAGAGCTAAAGGGGATTGGAGGATTCAATTAGACTTCACATCAAACTTTTCACATCAAATAAGCCAACAAAACAAAGAATAATAAAAAAAATAAGAAGGGTAAGAACAAGGATATTTTTCCTGAGTAAAGAAAAAAGAATTTGCATCTTACCTGTTCAGCAGGATTTTTGTTTTTTTCTCCCTTCAATGCCAGCTCTGGGTTTACAGAACTGTTTTTATCTTTCTCAATAGACCCATACTGGTACATTTTGTCTGATGGCAATGGAAAGTCCTGGGGGGCTTGCTGTGGGGATGTGTCCTTTGTAACATCTCTAAGTGGGGCTTCAGGGATACTGCAGAGATGAATAATAAAACACAAAGTGAGCACCAAGGCAGAGAAGAAGAACATGACCTGGAATTCTGTGCCCAGCACTCTTCCTATCTCCAGATGAGCCCAGTCGATGGCACCCAAAAGGTAACCCAAGGCACCTCCAAAACCTAGAAAGCAAGAAAGAGCTGTATTAGTATAGTTCGCAAACCATCTTCTCTTTTCATGGTGTCCAGGCGCCGCCCCCCTTCAGTGAGAAAGCTCCCTGGGGGCAGCAGAGACATCTAGTTATGATGGAGAGTTAACACAGCAGGAGGCCAAGACATCTACAGCCACAAAATGTGGGTACAAGCTCAGTTCTGACATATACTTGCTGTGCCCTTGGCCTTCCTCGTTCATAATATGGGGGTAATGATAGAAGAGCAACCTACGTATGAGTAGGGTCATGATTGGAAAATGGACTACTCCCAGACACAAATATTGCCACCATCAGGAGTCCTGTGGCCTTTCTAAACTGCACTCTCTAGGGGCACCTGGGTGGCTCAGTCGTTAAGTGTCTGCCTTGGGCTCAGGTCATGATCCCAGGGTCCTGGGATCGAGCCCCACATCGAGCCCTGCATCGAGCCCCTCATCGGGCTCCCTGCTCAGCGGGAAGCCTGCTTCTCCCTCTCCCACTCCCCCTGCTTGTGTTCCCTCCCTCTGTCTCTCTCTCTGTTAAACAAATAAAATAAAATCGCCTTCAGCTCAGGTCATGATCCTGGAGTCCCGGGATCGAGTCCCGCATTGGGCTCCCTGCTCGGCGGGGAGTCTGCTTCTCCCTCTGACCCTCTTCCCTCTCATGCTCTCTATCTCTCATTCTCTCTCTCTCAAATAAATAAATAAAATCTTTAAAATAAAATAAAATAAAATAAAATCTTTTAAAAAAATAAATAAAAATAAACATCACTCTCTAAACTGCTTCAGGACTAAAATTCTTGCCCTTAAAGAGCCCCAGAGAGAAACAACCTCTGACTGCAGTGAAATTATTTGTATTGGCATTTATATGTTAATTAGCTTCCTAGCATGACATGAGTTTGCAAAGATCAAACAGCTTTAAACTCTGTCTTCTTTCCTTTATTAGAAACTAAAGGAACTTGTTCCCAGCTGATAGCCACAGAACAAATAACAAAAGTTGGAATAATGAATTTTTAAAAATATTATTGTCATCTCACAGGACGTTGACCTGAAGTCTTTCTGTTGTTAGTTTTACCTGCCTTTTCTAAAGACAGTGTGATTTGAGGGACATTGAGGAAGGACTCCCCCAAATCGATCCTGCCCTAATGGTCTAATATTTGAAATCCTATCAGTAGTGATTCATTCTTTTTGGATTTTAAAATACAAGTGCCCCTTGTTGGTGGGAATGCAAGCTGGTACAGCCACTCTGGAAAACAACATGGAGGTTCCTCAAAAAGTTGAAAATAGAGCTACCCTACAACCCAGCAATTGTACTACTGGGTATTTACCACAAAGATACAAATGTAGTGATCCGAAGGGGTACGTGCACCCCAATGCTTATAGCAGCAATGTCCACAATAGCCAAACTATGGAAAGAGCCTAGATGTCCATCAACAGATGAATGGATAAAGAAGATGTGGTATACACACACACACACACACACACACACACACACACACACTGGAATATTATGCAGCCATCAAAAAACCAAAATTTTGCCATTTGCAATGATGTGGATGGAACTGGAGGGTATTATGCTAAGCAAAATAAGTTAATCAGAGAAAGACAAGTATCATATGATCTCACTGATATGAGGAATTTGAGAAACAAGACAGAGGACCATAGGGGAAGGGAGGAAAAAAATGAAACAAGATGAAACCAGAGAGGGAGACAAACCATAAGAAACTCTTAATCTCAGGAAACAAATTGAGGGTTGCTGGAGTGGTGGGGGGTGGGAGGGATGGGGTGGGCTGGGTGATGGACATTGGGGAGGGTATGTGCTATGGTGAGTTCTGTGAATTGTGTAAGACTGATGAATCACAGACTTGTACTTCTGAAACAAATAATACATTATATGTTAAAAAAAAAAAGAAGACAGTAGGAAGGGAAAAATGAAAGGGGGGAAATCTGAGGGGGAGACGAATCATGAGAGACTATGGACTCTGAGAAACAAACTGAGGGTTTTAGAGGGGAGGAGGGTGGGGGGATTGGTTAGCCCGGTGATGGGTATTAAGGAGGGCATGTATTGCATGGAGCACTGGGTGTTATAAAAAAAACAATGAATCATGGAACACTACATCAAAAACTAATGATGTAATGTATGGTGACTAACATAACATTAAAAAAAAAAAAAAGGATAACCAAAAAAAAAAAAAAAAAAATACAAGTGTGCCTGACCCGGGCAAGACACTGTATTACCCAGTGCCAAAGTAGTAAGTGCTCTTCAGATAGTGGCAGGTATCAGTGGTTCTGAAAATGCAAGGGGGGGGCGGCAAGGGGAATACACCTGGGGGAGTAAGGAGATGGATGCCAAACACACTGCCTACCTACATCACAAACTTATGTAGGGCTGATCACCCTGTCAGATACCTTTATATGTCAACCTCCCATCATGCCTTACCAAACACTGATATCTACCTGAACAGAAAAGTTTTGTTTTTGTTTTTCTTGTGTGAGTGAAGTCCCCATTTTATTTCCCAGGTAAAAGACAATATCCTCACAAACCAGGGAATTGAGGAAGAAAACAGAACTTAAGGAATTCTCTAACTCTAACCCTAAACACCCAACATAAACCCTGACCCCGGGAACACAAATCTGAATGTCAAATACCATGACAACTAATTTATCTCCAATGGTGGAAGAATGGGCGATTCTAGTCACACTACATTCTGGTTAGTTGCAATTTACTACAAAGGATATCTACAGATGACCAGCTGTTTGTTAACCAATGAATTTCAAAAATAAAGCATCATTGTCATGCCCTGAGTGCCAAAGCATTATAAGACAGAATTATGGGAGACTGTGGCAGATGGGTGCAATGAAGTTAAACATACGCCTTCTGCCAAGAGGAATATATGGTCTAGTCATAGGTGATGGGCGTATCCATAAACAGATAAATGACACATATGGGGACCTGTGCTGGCTGGTGGGTTCCAGGTTTTGAGAGGAAGGAGAGGGCCCTGAGCCAGCCACATTCTGTTGTGATTCAGAGGGCAGTTCTGGGACTAGTGGTGCCTCAGAATCACTATCAGACAACGACTCTCTTTATCACATTGTGGAGATGCCCAGGGTGTCAGAGGTCATGGGCTGAGCCGAGCAATCAACCAATAAAGATGTACTAAATTCCCAGCACGATTTGAGGGTCTATCTAAATTAGGATTTCCCAATTTCGACACTACAGACATTTTAGGCTGAAGAATCCTTTGTTGTGAAGGGCTGCTCTGTGCACTGTAGGATGTTTAGCAGCACCTCTGGCCTCTCCCCACTAGATGCCGGTAACAACCTCTCCACCAGCCTAACAATCAAAAATGTCTCTGGACATTGCCTATTGTCCCGTAGGGGGCAAAATGGCCCCCAGCTGAGGACTCCTGACCTTAATTAATCCAGTGAAAAACTTACACATTCCTTTTTTGAAACTATTTATCATTTGTTACCAGATCAATGTTGTCATATTGTCATTTAATTCTTCTGTCATTTATGACTCTTTCCTTCATAGTTACCATTCTGCTGAGCAAAGGAAATGTAAAGCCTGCCCATTTAAAAGAATTTATATGTGAAATAAACCCTCCACTGGGCAATAAAATGGTGGTTTTATTATAATATATATTTATAAATATGTAAATTTATAAATATATGGGTATAAATCTAATGATGCATTCATATTCAATATTGACTAGAATGATCAAGTCCTACATTTGGAAGGTTTCTTAGTCTATTTTCATGTCTGCTGGCTTAGTGTACTTCAATAAATATTGTTGAGCACTAAATATATGTGAAGGGCTCTCCTAGCTTCTGGGGATGTAGATGTAAATGAGACACAGCACCCTTTCCCTTCCTCCACAGAAGGCAGTTCAAAGTGGGAGAAGCAGGTAAGAAAACAGCTATTTAAAAAAAACCTGTAATAAATGGTGATAAGGGGCACCTAGGTGACTCAGTCGTTAAGCGTCTGCCTTCGGCTCAGGTCATGATCTCAGGGTCCTGGGATCTAGTTCTGCATCATCGGGCTTCCTGCTCAGTGGGGAGTCTGCTTCTTCCTCTGCCCCTCCCCCTACTTGTGCGTACTCTCTCTCTCTCAAATAAATAAATAAAATCTTAAAAAATAAAATAAAATGATGCTAGAACTGTGAGCTGGGTACTCAAAGAGTATGGAAGAGTTGTGAAGAGTTCATTTGTTATTGGAGCCTAGTTAAGAGTACCAAGATGATGTTGATTACTTAATAACTATTATAGGATTCCTCTTGATTAGCAATGAAGTTCGTAAGAGTTCAAATATATCAATGGTTGCAAAGATTTTAGACGTAGAAGGCTGTTTGGAACTCATCTGGTTGAATTCCATCTGAAAGCCAAGGGCTTACAGTAGTTAAGTGACAGGGAACAGCATGGAAAAAAAAGGATTTGGAATTTTCCCTGATTTCAATCCCCACCTGTGTGCTTTCTAGTCATGTGATCTTGGGCACTTCTCCTCTGAGAAGTGGGGGCAGTGGCTCCTCCTCGTGTGAGTCTCATGAGGGCTAACATGACCATCTGTGTACACCATCAGCACAGAGAGTGGCAGGACCAGGGCCCAAACGGAGGGCCCTATAGACTTGCTACAGAAACCCTGATTCCAAAGCCTCCCCCAGAAGTGGGAGAAGACAACCGCTGCACTCAGGGTGAGCGACAATCTGCCTAGAGCTGGCTGAAAGGACTTGGACAACAAGGCCCAGTGATTAGAATCCAGGGATCATTCTGGGGGCTGACCCAGGCCTACCACTGACCAGTGGGAAGTATTGTGGAAGAAAAATGTATCCCAAACCTGGAAAGAGTAACAACTGTTAAGTGCCTGATTTAAAAAATATTAGACTAGAGGCACCTGGGTGGCTCAGTGGGCTAAGCGTCTGCCTTTCGCTCAGGTCATGATCCCAGGGTCCTGGGATCGAGCCCACATCAGGCTCCCTGCTCTGCGGGAGAGCCTGCT